CCCCAAAACCCCAAAACCCCAAAACCCCAAAACCCCAAAACCCCGTTTGTACTCTTATTATTGAATATTAATTTAAAATGGATCTGGCTAGTGGCCGTCATGCTGGGAGGCAGAGTCGTTACAAAGCAGATTATAGTGAAAAATCTTATGATTCAAATTCTGTCCCAAGGCAAAACAGTAAACATGAAATGAACATTCTAAATATTGGGCATGGAGAAGACCCTAGTAATTATGAGCATCGGTCTATTATGGATGAAGAAGCTCTCCAGCATCAAAACCCTGAGAATGGTAAAGAAACTGGAGATATCAACGTTGATTTTAAAAGGGTAAAGAACCATGGTTTAATGTGTCCGCTCCATCCTCAGCAAGTAGGGACTTGGGTAGTGATGGTCATCCTTGTGCTAACCTTTTATCTATTCTTAATACCTGGAATTTATCATATCTCTGCAGGGTTCTCTGTTTTCATTTGAATTATTTATGGACTTCTCTTGTTCGGAGTTATCATTTTCTGCCTTCGTGCCACCCTTACAGATCCAACTGATAGAAATATTGTTTATGAAAGAGAATGAAGAAAAGAGGGAATCGAGCCTGAAGAAAATGATGAACTCGAGTTCTTCTGAGATGTATGTGAAGGCTATGTTCATGATAGGACAAAACACTGAGGTCAATGAAACAGGTGAACTGATCTTTTTGATCATCATTGAAAGTGGTTGAATAACTGAGTTGGAGCTAAAAATTATGCAGATTTCCTCATCTTGATATCAGTATTATTGCTTCAGACTTTATTATTTATGATAATATCATTCGTATTTGTAATCACAGCTCTAGCAAGCAAGTCCAAATTTCAGGAAGGGTTCAATGAATACTACGATTCTGAGCTAAATAGATTTGGTTTAGCGGTATTTGTTGTACTATTAAATATTCTATGTGGGCTAATAGTTTATTTCACAGTTTCACTAATAATACTGCACATAAAACTTCGCAAGATGGAAATTACCGCTTATGAATATATTGTCTACCTAGATGAGAGAGAGGAAAGACTTGAACTCTTTCAAAGAGGAGAAATGAGTATTGGAGAATTTGAAGAGGAAGAAAAACAAGCCCAAGAAGACTTAAAGAAAAAGAAAAAGTCTAAAATTATTCACCAAATCAATAAAGAGAATAAGAAGGCCTATCGGGAAAGGATCATTGCAAGAAATAATAAGGCAAAGAAGACCAAGCAAACTGGACAGACACCTGCTGCTACCCAAAATGCAATGATGCAGAACCAAACTCCAAAGAAGAAACAAGATCAGGAGAAGATTACTAAGCATCAATCCGACCATAAAAAAGAAGAATTTTACAATGTTATGCAGGGAAAGAAGAGCCCTGAAAGAGCGAAGAAGTATTCTTCTAGTCCAAAAGGTCATTGAGGTGGAATAAGAGTTAGTGATGAAAATATCGAAGATGTCAAAGTAAATCTAGCTCAAGATACAAAAAGGAAGAGATTAAACTTCAACCAAGACAGAGAAAGCTCGGATGAGTCTGAAAGCTCTAAAGCACAGGAAATCAATAATCGTAAAAGAGATTCAGAGAAAGAAAAGTCTTCTAGAGAAATTATGAACTATTTCAGTGATAATTGAGAAGACTTAGACCAAAATCCTTCTAATTCCTCTCAAGCCCACCCTAGCTCTGAAAGATCTGAAGCCAGCTTATCTTCTCCATCCTCTGCTTCCAAATCACCTCCAAATAATATTGGCACCAATACAGAGATGAGTTCTGACAAAAGGGTCGGACCTGACTTTACCGGTCTGAAAAAGGCTGCTCCTTCTGATTTCAGTGACGATCCTGACTCTTCCTAATTCATCAGACTGAGGTTTCTCCAACACTTATCTTCTATTAGCCAATAGTTATCTTTTTATGTGTATTCTATTAGTCAAAAATCTGTTTTCAACTGATACGCAGTTAATTGGGGTTTTGGGGTTTTGGGGTTTTGGGG